ATCCTGCACATTATAGATTGCAGCTCTTACAAATATCACCACTACCACCACTGTTAGTGAAGGAGGCCCTATTCAACCTGTAAGAACTCAAACAACCACCCTAGAGCCTAGACCTTGCCATCAAGAGCCTGGATGGCACTCCCCTGGAGAAGAGATAGCTGACATTCCATAAGTGTGAAGTCAAGGTCAGAGAATTAAGGGAATAGATGCTGAGGTTGTCAAGGAGGACTACCTGGAAACAAAATTTCAATACAGGTAGTGACCAATGTCATTGCATATGGAGGACCCATGGTAATCAAAAGCAAAAAATCAAGCATGAGTCTGGGGAATGAGAACTAACTAGGGAAGTTAGTGATCAAATGGTGCAAAAGTTAAATAGTCATACAGAATTTGGCTTTGGCTTCAGTTTAAAAAAAACTCCAAAAGGATTTTTTTTTAATTTAAGCAATACAGGCTGGCAGAAATGTTCCTGGGCAAACTCTGTGGAAAGTATGTTGTCTGGATGCAACAACACACACAGAGGCCTCAGTGTTCTCTTGTCAGACTAGCTCCACCCTCCCCACCCCAGAACTCCCAGGAGACCTTAGGTCACTGGCATCTTGGCCCACCCCCACCAAGCTCAGCAATAGAAATAGTATGTTTCAGCTGCCTAAAACCACTTTCCATTTTCTAAAACCTGCATATGTTCCCTAAAAGTTCCTGGAAGCTATCACCTTTACATCTGTATCTGTTTCCCCATTTGTAAAATAGAGACTCTCACACCTACAGAGGTACATTATGATTTTCCAGAATACCAAACTATCACTTCTTAAAATGCCAGCCCTGACCAATCCCTCCCCTTTTAAAGAATTATCTATGACTTCACATTCTGTATAGTAAGAAGTCCTTGCTGCCTGCCTTGTAGACTTGTTGAGTTTGGCATTCACAGCCATTTATTCTCTAGGCCTACCCAACCACAGAAACTTTTCCTCCTGCTTATGTTCCCTTACTCTCTACTCCAAGCAAATCTAACTAACCACCTGCTGTTCTTGGAAACACTGTCTGAAATGTCTATTCCACAAATAATTACTGAACATGTATTGTATGCTAGGCCATATTCTAGGCTCTGAGTTTACAGCAGTGACTTAGACAAAAATCCTTGCTTTTCAGTAGGCCAGTCTAGTGGAGAAGACATACAAGAAAAACTAATCAAGTATATGTTAGTTTGGGAATGAGACATGTTACAAAGAAAGAGAAAATAAGACATTGGAGACAGTGTGAGAGTGCTCTTTTGGATAGGATAATCAGGGATGTCTTTCTAGGGAAATTCTATTTGAACAGAGATCTAAGACAAGAGTTTTCAAGATTTGCAAAGATCTGGAGGAAGAGTGTTCCAAGCAAAGGGAACAGTACTCTGAGATTGCACTTACCAAATTCAAGGAATACCAGAGGCCAGTGTGGCTAGAGCAGAGTGAGTGAAGGGGAGAGTAAGAGAGTATGTCTTAAAATATGACATTGGGTCAGATTTGCTATGGACTTGTGGGCATTTGTATTGTCTTTGGCTTTTATTCTAAATGGGAGTTACAGAGAACTTTAAGCAGAGAAGGGACATGGTCTGATTTAGGATTTAACAAGATCCCTCTTATTACTGTTGAGAATGGACTATAAGGAGGTAACATTGAAAGAGTTTGTAGGTCATTGTATTTATACAAGCAGGAGATGTTAGTAGTCTGGACCAGGGCAGTAGTTGTAGGATTGCTGAGAAGTGATCAGACTATAGATGAGAAGTGATCAGACTATAGATGAATTCTATAGATGCATTCTAAAGATAGAGCTGAAAGTCCCTGGTAGATAATGTGAGTGAAAGAGGGGAGTCAATCACGACTCTTAAAAATTTCTTACATGAGAAATGATTTATTGAGATAAAAGAAACCAAGGAAGAGCAAATTTGGAAGAGGAGATATCAGGAGCTCAGTTTGACATACCTAAGCTTAAGACTTTTGTTAGATATTCAATGTAAATAGCTGTTCAATTTCATTGGCTACTCACTGTAAATTATATGGGTGGAGTTGAGCAGACAAGTCCATGCTGGAAATAGAGGTTGAGGAGTCATCTGTGTATAAATGGTATTTAAAACCATGAGCATCACAAAGAGAATGAATGTAGAAAGAGCAGAGAAGGAAAGGGGATAGGAAAAAGGAGGAGGGGGCAATCAAAAGGGAGGGAAGAAAAAATTGAAAATAGTGTGTAGAGCCTAGTTGACTAGAGAAACAAATCCAGTGACACTCATATTTGTGTAAGAGAGAGCTTTATATCAAGAAGTAATTATACATCAAGGTCCCAGCCCAGTCCAGAGCAAGTCCATAAGTCTGATATTAGTCCATAAATCTCTCTTCAGACTCACACAGCCACATGCAATGATGCAAAATTCAGGAAGATAACAGGCTGGTGGGTGAAAAGTTTTGTGGATCCAGTGGTGGTGGACGAATCTCCTGGGCTCATGCAGGTCTCCATGTGGTGTCAACAGGAGATGAAGTCAGTGAGGTGAGGGGAGGTTCCCATGACTCTCCTTATGAAGAGGTCATGCCCACAAGGAGGCATCATCAGTCTGTGACCTAATTTACATGATAGATTCCACCCTTACACTTGTTTGACACAAAATTATGTAACTACCACAGACACTTGTCAATCTGACGTGTTTACACAACTCTTTAGCCATATGTAATTTTTAATATGAAGACAATAGTAAAATCATATTTGTGGCTAATGGGATAAAACTAAAATTCATACAACTCAAAATATGCCAGCCTCATTTAAACATGATACAATATAAGCTAAAAAAAAAGTATTCTATACTTAACAACTGCAGTTAAGTGAACACCTACACCATAATCCTATGAACATATCCCCCACCCAAGAAAGTTTGTAAGCCAGCCATTTCATGCCTTTATTCTCCCCATTTGGGGATATCCAATTTCTATACTGCCCTCTTATATCAACCCAGTGCTCTGAGGAGACAAGCTTGTTCTTTGATGTGAAGAACCTCCATTCTAGTTGGAACCTTGTGAGTTCTTATCCATAAGCAAAGTCAAATCAGGATAGGCCATCCATAACGTAAGCAGCACTATGTACCAATTCACAGGCTCAAAAATCTTATCTTCGCTTTCTGCTTGTGGACTCCGCGGTGGAAGCATCGTTCGGGCTTTTTCTCCCCACCGCCTTCATGTCTAAGTCAGAGACTGCTAAAGAGCCTGAACAGCTGCGGAAACTCTTTATCCAAGGATTGAGCTTTGAAACAACAGATGAGAGTCTGCGGAGCCATTTTGAGCAATTGGGGACCCTTACGGACTGTGTGGCGATGAGAGATCCAAACACCAAGCACTCCAGAGGCTTTGGGTCTGTCCCCTACTCAACTGTGGAGGAAGTGGATGCAGGCATGAATGCAAGGTCACACAGGTTGATGGCAGAGTTGTGGAACCAAAGAGGGCTGTCTCACGAGAAGACAGGCGCCCATTTAACAGTGAAAAAGATCTTTGTCGGTGGCTAAAGAGCACCACCTACGAGATTATTTTGAGCAATATGGGAAAATTGAAGTGATTGAAATCATGACTGATCGAGGCAGTGGCAAGAAGAAAGGCTTTGGTTTTGTGACTTTTGATGACCATGACTCCGTAGATAAGGTTGTCATTCAGAAATACCACACTGTGAATGGCCACAATTGTGAAGTACGAAAAGCCCTGTCGAAGCAAGAGATGGCCAGTGCCTCCTCCAGCCAAAGAGGTCGAAGCGGTTCTAGAAACTTCGGTGTTGGCTGAGGTGGTGGTTTTGGTGGGAATGACAACTTTGGTTGTGGCAGAAACTTCAGCAGCCATGGTGGCTTTGATGGCAGCCACGGTGGTGGTGGATATGGCAGCAGTGGGGATGGATATAGTGGATTTGGTAATGATGGAAGCAACTTTGGAGGTGGTGGAAGCTACAACGATTTTGGCAACTACAACAATCAATCTTCCAATTTTGGACCAATGAAGGGAGGGAACTTTGGAGGCAGAAGCTCTGGCCCTTATGGTGGTGGAGGTCAATACTTTGCCAAATCATAAAACCAAGGTGTCTATGGTGTTCAAACAGTAGCAGTAGTTATGGCAGTGGCAGAAGATTTTAAATGACTACCAGGAAACAAAGTTTAGCAGGAGAGGAGAGCCAGAGATGTGACGGGAAAGCTACTGGTTGCAGTAGGGCCTAGCTGCTATAAAGAATACATGTTTTAGACAATACTCATGTGTATGGGCAAAAGAACTTGAGGACTGTATTTGTGACTAATTGTATAACGGGTTATTTTAGTTTCTGTTCTATGGAAAGTGGAAAGCATTCCAAGAAGGGGTTTTAATGTAGTTTTTCTTTCTCTCTCTTTTGCATCCATGCTGTTGATTGCTAAATGTAATAGTCTGATCATGACGCTAAATAAATATATTTTTTTAATGTGCAAAAAAAAAAATCTTATCGTCATCTGCTCGGGTTCTAGTCAACTCAGTGTGGCATTGCCTCACTTAGCCTCCTCACCAGGGTGCCCTCTGGCTGCTTCCCTTTTGAACTATGGGTCTCTTCACAAATTCTCAACAACTATAGGGTTAGGTCACAAATTGTCAACAACCATAAGACTCAGATTTTGCACACTCTATAAAATCCAGACCAGCCAATCTACTCTTATCTTCTCCTCTAGCCCCTGTGAACCAGGTCTACAGGTGTCAGTGGCCAAATTCAACCCATCTCTCTATTGCTGCATTTATCCCACTTCCACTGAACAAGTTGATACTGGTGACCACCTAGCAAGCCACAGGCTGCCCATGGCTTTCTTCAACTTTCAGTCCTAGAGAGGAGAGTTTCTTCATGGCCCCAATTTTTCCAGCTGCAGGCACAAATCAAAATCCAAAAAGGCCAAAAGGCTCCTTTTTCTCTCTTCAGCCTGTCACCAGCTCTCTCAGCACGCCTTTTCAAATGCAAATGTACTGGTTATTCAAGGCACTATGTGGGGCTTATCTTTCCAGAGCCTTCTTTGTAGGCAACTCCTATACCCATTTAAAGATCCAATTTAATGGTGAAGGCAGTGGGTTTATGAGCTATTTTCATATTTCCCAATAATCATTTCTGTCACACATAATATCAACAATAGGCAGAAGAAATCAGTATAAACACAGAAGAGTCAGATCCTAAACACATTCTGAAAAGAATCAAATTCAATCTTATCGTATCTAAATTATCCCATTCACATGCAATATGGTCTTTAGACCTCTGGCTGCATGAAGCAAGGGTGGGGAACCTTCTGTCAGCCATTTTGCCCTTCTATCAACTATTTTGACATCATAGTCTCATAGGAGAAGTTTAAGGGGCCATTTTCCCCCCTGAACTCAAAATTTATATTTATCAAATTCATTTTCACCACTTCAGACAGGTATAACCTTAGACAACAAGCACAGAAAAGAATGAAAACTTCCCATGTCCTTTCCAGAAAGCAATCGAGTAAACATTTTGGGCCTATCTGAACTCTGTCAAGCCAAAGAAGAAAAAATAACCATAAGGCAGAGGTCAGACAACCATCCACTCTTCATCTTCATGACTTGTTTCTTTTAGTACCCCAGTCCCAAGGTACCATAATGTGTTAGGCTGGGTTGATTAGAGAAACAAACAAATCCAGTGAAACTCATATTTGTGCAAGAGGGAGCTTTATATTAAGAAGTAATTATATATCAAGCAAAGATGCAAGCCCCGTCCAGAGAAAGTCCATAAGTCCAGTACTAGCCCATCAGTCACTCTTCAGACTCACCCAGCTACATGCAATGATGCAAAAAATGCAGGAAGATCACAGACCAGTGGGTTAAAAGTCATGTGAATCCAATGGTGGTGGATTCATCTCCAGGGCTTATGTAGGTCTCCATGTGGTGTCAGCAGGAAGGTGCAGGGGTGTGTGGTTCCTAAAATCCTCCTTATGAGGAGGTCACACCTACAAGGAGGGACCATAAATCTGTGATTTTATTGACAGGCTAGATTCCACCCCAACACTTCAGGTTGGCACTAAATTATGTAACTACCACACACAGCCTTGGAGTGTTCCAGAGAATTAGAAGTCAAATAGAAAAGGAGCCCATCATGAAACTGAGAAGACTTGGTCCTGAGTATTATTTACCTAACTGTTCCGTCTTGCAGGCTTAACTCCAAAGTTAAGTTTTCTAGAAATCTTTCTTGAAGATTTGGCCCAGAGTGGTTTCTCCCTTCTTTGAATGCCTATATATTTTATAACCCTCCTTATAGAAATGAGAGGAAACAAGTCTAAATTTCTGCCTCATCAGTCTTTGAGCTTCTTGAGGACAAGGCTACTTTCCCAGTTGGACCCAGAGGCTTTTATCTCCTATATCATTTTTCAAAGTATTTACTTAATATGTTTATTCAAACAGATAGACCTTTCAAGGTAATATGCATTAGCTTTAACCTAACCAGCAATACCTAAGATGAGCTCAATATGCTAATTATATTGAATACACATTATAGCAAATACAATTATAACAAAAATATCCAGTTGTGTCCCAACTAAAATTAATTTGTGGGTCAAAAAGTAGAATTCATTCAACTAGTTGCCAAACACTAAATCCTAACACTAGGTCCATCATATGCCTATGGTGGCAGTTACATAATCCGTCAACTTAAGTGAGGGGGTGGAGTCTAGCCTGTCAATCAGGTCATAGCCAATGAGGCCTCAGTGTGGGCATGGCTTTCTCCTGAGGAATCTGGGAACTCCTGTCTTCCTCCCCTGAGGCAGGACACACACTCTGTTTGTTTTATCTTCTTGCTGACAAGACACATGGAGCTATGCTGATGACAGCCAGAGACCTGGAGCTAGAGAAGCCATGTGGAAACCCACACCAACACTGAGATACTTCCACTGCCACTGCATCCATGAGACTTTCCACCCGCTGCCCTGTGATCTTCCTGGACTCAGCGTCATTACATGTGTTGCATTAGTCTGAAGAGGAAATTATAGACTGGTATTGGATAAATGGTCTTATATCGGAATTATGGATTTGATCTGGATTGGGCTGGGGAGTTTTCTTAATATTTAATTACTTTTTGATATAAAGTTATCTCTTACACATATATGTGTGTCAATAAATTTGTTTCTCTAGTGTACCTGGACTAACACACCTACTATATAGTCCTTATTTCTCAGTTTGACAAATGGAGATAATGAAACTAAGTCACCTGATTTTCTTTTCTTCTTTCTCTGCTTGCTCCTGCTATTTTATTCTTTCTCTTTCCCAATCCCCAACTCCCCACCTTTCTCTCTATGTCTCTGACCATCTCTTTTTTCTTTCTTTATCCCTGTTTGACCCTTCCTATTTCTTGTCCCATTAAGCCACCAATAATGAAATCTAACTTGCAGAAATCAAACAGAAGTACCAGGCAAAGAATACCTATGAGGAAGTTCAGCAGCAGCTGCTCACATAGGCATCAGGTAATGCTTACAAAACTTTGAAACCTTGATAACTGATTTTGTGTGATCAAGGGCAAAAGGCCTTGATCTCTGGGTCTCAGTTTATGTCTCTGTAATATGGAAACAAAGTTCTTTTTCATGTGATTGCATATATATGATCTAATAAATACAGACCCTGCAATAGAGTAAATGTTCAACAAATGGGAGTTAATTTGCCCATTTCCACTTTTTTCCTACCAAAGAATCGCCATCTTCCAGAAAAGTTAAGGACATCATGTTTGGTAGAGTGGAAGCAAAATAAAGAGGAAGACCCCTGACAAGATGGATTGACCCAGTCATTGCAACAATGGGCTTAAATATAAGAACAATTGTGAGGTTAGCACAGGACCAAGCAGTGTTTTATTCTGTTGTGCCTGAGGTCACTGGGGGTTGGAACCAACTTGATGGCACTTAACAGCAAGTAAGGTTATGTACAAATGAGATTCTTCTAATTTGAATGCTGTCTTTGAACTAAATTCCAGTCTGCTGGAAGAAATATATTCTTCTCCTTCAATATTTTCTCCCAGTTTCCAAAAGAGTTTAATTAAACATGCAAACTTTAGGCTTTGTCTACTTCATATGGAATAGTTAATGTCTTATAAACAAGCTCAGTCTAAGGCAAGGAGAAGTGGAGGATGTGAGGGGCTATTTGAGGAGGAAGTGGTATTATGAATAAATTGCAAAACCTTATTAAAATAATTCGTTTCAAACCTATCTTCTCTAAAGTGTGATTTCTTAAAAGTGATCTACCTGTGATGTAATTTTCTCCAGCAGAATATTTACAAGGATGAATGATGGTGACTCAATCAATGCATGGATGACTGACTAGGCAAATTACTTAGGGATAGATTGTCTATGAGACATTGAAAAAGAGGTTTGGTCATGCTTTTGGGGCACAGGATTGAAAATGACAGAGCCAGGTCATCTAACAATTCCCCTAAACTTTATGAAATGTCATGTTCATCCTTCTCTCCCCACTTTCTTGCCCAGGGACCAGGAGTCAGAGTAGTTCCACATATCCACCAGGCTGGAAGCAGGCATGATAGTGACATTTTCCTTAGCCTATAAGTTCATGATGCAGTGGCACCAGCTGTTGGTGAGCCTGAGACCTAATTTGTGATAAGGATAAGCATAGAATCCACAGAGTCAGAAAGGCCAGGCATTGCCTATGTAAATATGACATCCCTGAGAACCAGTCATCTATTAACAAATACCCACACAAGTATGTAGGAAGCACCATGATCAATCACCAGAAATGTCCTTCCATAATGAGAATATTTTTCTTTCATCTGGATATCACTCTAGTACCCCTCTACCCTGTACTCACTACTAAGTCCTATCTCTGTACAAGAACCAAAAAAGGACATGTTTGTAGTTGGGCATATTTGGAGTCTGGCCTTTTCAGGTGCTGTGAATGTGGGATGTCACATAACATTCCAGAGTCTTGAATTGCAGAGTCTCTGTAATTTAAACAAAGCAAGGGAAACAAACTGCAGGGGTAGAATTTTTGGGTGTTGGATGGGCATAATGAAATTATGTATTAACAATGCTGGAGTTGGTAGAAGCCATACTTCCAAACCTTACTTTCCCCTGAATCACCACAGTGAATGGAGACGAATAAAAAAAGGATAAGAAGAGAATGTGTAGTAAGGAGAACATTGGAAGATCAGTCTCAGGCCTTGTGGACAGATTGCTGTCCTGGCTGCCAGACTTTCTTCACATTTCATTGAGAAGTTTTCAAAGGCCAGTACTAGAGACGAGCTTCATCAAAATCACTGTATGAACTTAAAAAACACTCATTCATGCGCCTTACCTTTGTGGAGTTTAGTTCAATGAGTTGAGATAGGACTCGGGAATTTGTGCTTTTAAATGGTTTCCAGTTGATCTTGAAGCCCAATAAGACTTACTCACTTCATCTGAGAAACAAGTGGACACCTACAGGCAAATCACCCACTTCATGTGACCACCTTTACAAAGCTATTTAGCATTGAAGATCATGACTAATTTTTTTAATCAATATATTGAGGCTCATACAATTCATCACAATACATAGAT